CGCCCGAACCGGTCAACTGACTGGTGCGGAGAGTGGCCACAGTTGTAAATTTATCTAATGACCTCGTTTGTATACCATCGAAAATGACCTACCACCGGTGCCTGATGCAACTATTTATCACATTATAAACTAGGAACTAGCACAGGGATTCTGGAAGTGAACGTCTCAGAAAAACTGTAATTTGCAGATGATTTGCTTAAGAGCACCTTGCCACTGTTTTACAAAGGAGTGGGGCTTCCTTACAACGCCTGGCGCGCATAACAGCAAACAACCAAAATAAGACGGTTTATTAATTAGTAAGGTACCTGGATGCATAAAAAGTTGGAAAGGCGCCTTTTGACGTGGATTACCGTTAACGATATCGGCATTTGAAGCTTAAGAGGACGTCATTGAGGCGTATCACCTCAATAAATGGGTTACTCAGCCAGAAGTTCATTAAAATAACCAACCAAATCCGATAAATTTGCCAATATTAATGCAACCCTGTGAGTGCACCTTAAGCACAGTGAGACCCGCATGTTGTTTCATTGACTATGAATGAGGATTGAAACCTCTCTTATTTTAAGAGTAAATGAAAAGGTTTATTTGATGGCAGTGATAGCAGATACGAGGATGGCACTCTTAATCCTTTCCACATTTTCTGAACCAAACCAGTGCATAGTGAAGACTCGTAATAAACTCTTACAGTAACAGCTCGCTTCCTAATAGTTCAGAGGGTTTACGCGGCAAGACCCAGCCTCTCTTATCTCACAGTATTAGGTGTGGTTGTTAGGCAGAGGATCCGATTGTGGTAAGTGCTACTTGGCACTGCGCACACGTTTACGGCAAACTGTGGTGCCCTAATTTCCTTTTTAATTATTAAAATTCGTTTTTTTCGAGTGAACAGTTTAAGCCTATTTAAAATTTTAGGCAAAAACCTTGATACGGGAAAATGGTGCCACCTCGTTATTTTAATTGTGAAGTTCCGCAGATTATGCAGAGGAGAGTCTTTTGTGTTTTTGGTTTCTTATAATTTACTAGGGGTTGTCCCGAGTGATTTAAGATTCTTCGAAAATAGTATGCTATTTAATCGGTGAAGGGGTCTGTAGTCCCTTCTGAACGCATGCAGAGATTCAACCTAAGAGAAGCGAATCGAAATCTGTAACAAACCTATGCTTCTATTCACCTGTTTCCGTAGGCCGAAATGGTATCGTCTTACCCAGCAGCAAGCACCCAAGTTTTAACAGTTGACAAACAAATCGATGCACCAGTTGATAGAGTTGATAAAATAGTTCCGCATCACAGACACCTCTTGATTTGCCTAGTTGAAGCCTCGATCCACTTAGACGGGAAGCTTGTGAATTCGTCTTTCTCTTGTGACTGTCGAGCAACCCGTGGCATATGTGATGTAACCTTCTTTCTCAAGTTTCACCCAAATATATCTGGCAAGGTTTTCAAACTGCATTGAAATGTTGTGCTTGCATTCACCCGTGGGCACAGCTCTTGGAGGAAATCGAAAATGTTTAG